AGCTACCTTTAAGTATCTGGACTGTCTCTTATACACATCATAAACAATACTCTTATTATTAATACTCTTATTCATTGATAGTAGTGCAGGGGTATATGTTAAAAAAAGGCTCATGTTCGCCCAATTCATGTTAATTTATGGCAACAATGCTTTTCAGACTCGGAATTTTATACTAAATAAAGAACAATTTTAGTGCCTATTTTTTTCGAGAAGGTGAACTGGGTTGGAAAATAAGATGGCGGACATCTGGTCAAACATAGGATTATGTGGTATTATTTGAAAGGAAATCATGCACTGAATATTATTTCCATTAGCTAATATCACAAAAAATGTAGAGTAATGGAGATATTAGCCATTAAACATGTCAATTATTTTTTTTTAAAGACATTTAAATTTTGTAAAAATTATTTAATCTATTTTAAAAAAATCTCTCTAAAAATATTTGGCTGAATTTTTTTTGTGAAGTGCGCCACCAATACCAAGGATGACTGTAGAAACTGCCATTACCACTAATCGGACATGTCGTGTAAATGGTGCGGTCGGTTAACGATATTGAACCATGGAGGTATTATAGTGAACTGGAGGGATTACTTGAATTCAGTCCTTTGACGATCATTCCGACCGCTCTGATAAGAATCCATAAGGAACAGACCATAATCAACTTTATCTATAATCCAATTCAGGAAAATCCGCGCTGGCATTATGTAATAATTACCCATAAGTCATTTCGTTCACGAAGACGATGCTGAGATGCGGACGCGCACATTTCTAATAATTATGGCGAAGTATAGCAAAGAAGATTATTTTGTTGGCGAAGACTTCGATAACTTAAGCGATTTCAGTTTTGATGAAGACGATTTGAATGAGTTTGAACATGAATGCTTACAAGACGACAAGGAGAATACAGAAAGTGACAATCATGGTATGATTTTACCTCCTTTTGTTAATTCGATTTACTTTAGGTCTAGGCTAGCCCGCTGTAGCGTCCGATGGGCGTTGCTAGCCAGCGTAGGCCTGGGATCGTTTAGGCGCTAGGCCTAGCGGTACATTAGCCGTTTCCGTACCTGTTTTCTAATAATATTTCATGGTAAATAATTGTTATTATTTATAGCTGCTAGGAAATGAATGTACTGTAATTTAAAAAACAGTTTATGCAATTGTTTTTATTGTGTCTGCAGTCAAATCATGGAGGTATTAGTTAGATAGTACATGGAGGTATAATTATAGTATAAAAATATTACCTCCATAATCAAATATGGTCCTGGATGGATCATGGAGCTTCTACTAGCCTGGTTAAATACAAAACAGGTCTAGTAGGTTTAAGCACAAGAAGATTGTTTATGCCTAACTGTTTAACTGTTTAAAAAAATTGTTTTGATGCAAGTAATATACATTGAGTCTAATATTATTAATCATTAGTTTTTTTTATTTTAATTAACTTCACACTGGCACTAAATGTTGTTTAAAAATACAGTTATAATTATGCATTGAGGTTTTATTTATGACAGTTTACTTTTTTTTAATTACATAGGTAATGCAGAGAAAACTGACGAACCAACTACTGAAGAATCAAACAAAAGTATGTATTACTACTTTATTGCTGTTATTCTTGAGTTTAAAATTTATTAAACAGTTGGATGTATTGTTGTGGTATTGTACAGTTACAGATAAAGTTTTGTGATGGGTAATTTCCTTTTTGAATAAAACATTTGAAAATAGATTAACTGTATCTCAGTTTCCTCTCTTTTGTGACTTGTACATTCCCCAAATTCGGTTACATTTTCTTTTTAATATTTCATTTAATTATGTACTGTACTCTTTAAAACATTTTTAATGACACTATTTTTTTCAATTTTTTAGGAAAAAAGGGAAATTCAAAGCCGAAGAAGAAAGTAAAGTGCCCTAAGCGACCAGAATGCAATATATCAGAAAAACAAATATTAGAAAAATGCAAATTGTTGGATGTACTTCTCGCAATAAAATCGAATCCCTTGTTCACAGACTGTGAAAATGGTGAGGATCTATTGAAGATAATTAGGAGTGTAGAGCAAGCATTTCTGAATGAAGTTTCGGACTTACCCAAATTTGCTGAGGATATTGTCAGAAAAATAATAGCTGCAATTGAAGCAGGAGACAAGAAGAAAATAGGAGCACAGTCAAATGACATATTAAGTGAAGAGATCCACAAGTTGAACTATGATAGCTTAAAGCAAACTTTCAAATGTATTATTGCACGTGAATGCAAAATACGGAACAATTTTTTAGTAAATTTTCTCTATGGACAAATCATTAGTGAACTTTATAAGATAGTGCTGCCACTTAAACACAGTTCCAAACCGAAAGAAAATGCTGAACATGCTTGCACCCTTACAAAAGCAGAGGAGCAAATTGTCAGGTATGTTGCTGGCTACATACCCTTTGCATTGATTAAGAGATACAAAAAGCACTCAAACTCTGTGTCGAAAGCATATTTGCAGGTACTGCAATGCCTGAAAATAGATGCCGAGAATGAAGAAGACTTCACCCAGAAATGGATATCAATGCAAGATAGAGGTGGTCTCTTCAAGGTTAATGACAAGGCATATGAACTTTTCAGTATGATGGAAAAAATCACTAAAGGCTGTCTGCATAAAGATGACTTAACCAGGTTTCAAACTGAAAGTATGCAGCAGTTTCTAACAGAGCAAATAATGGAGAACTCATTAACACAAAACTACTGGTATGGCTTAATGGAAGGGACACTCTCGGGAGAGGCAAGTCGAAAGCTGCTGCATACTATTGTGGAGTACTATGCCAAAATTCGATGTAAAAGCTTTGTGAAATCAATTGTAAACATTAGGAAGTTGCAGAAAGACCCCACAATTTCAAAGAAATTCGAAAAAGGGCTTAGGAAAACACTAGATAAATAGAAACACTATACAACACTTTCAACTAATGTCTTTTAATTTTCATCTTTCATATATTTCATTAGTGTCTCTACACAGTACTGAATTTATTTCATTACTGTTACTATTTGGTAAATATACAATGGATTTAAAATGAATAATATAAGTAACCAGGATCTTATACAATGTTTCATTTCATTTTGATATGTTACTGTACATCTCATTTTTTTATTTTCAACCAGGAGATTCAAAATGAATTTATTTCATTGCAGTTACTATTTTGTAAATACTGTATACTAAAATAAAAAAATAATATGAATAATTGAATAACCAAGATCTTATGATATTTATACAATATTTAATCCCATTTTGATACGTTACTGTACATCTCATTTTTTATTTTCAAATGGGAAACTCAATGGGAAATGCTGTTACGATTTTGTAAATACACTGAAATGTAAAACAGATTTTAAAATGAATAAAGTAACCAAGATCTTATGATAGTTATACATTGTTTCATTTCATTTGCTACTGTACATCTAATATGTTTTTTTATTTTCAACTGGGACATTCACAAAGAACAACTATGGGACTACAGTACTATGAAATTATGCCATTACTATTTTATAAATAAACTGGAATATCCAAGATGATCTTGATGAAGATGATTTCTTTTTCTGCTGCATTGTAAACAAACTTCAGCCTTCTGTTCAAAATCATAGTCTGACGTCATTCGTTCTAGGTTTATTTGGCAAAGGTTCATCAGACAGTATATTGTTGCTCTGGTTTCTGAAGGCATTTGTACAGTTACCTCTACGAGCAGCTGAAACACAATCACCGGCTACATGCAGAGAAAGAAAGTTGTTCTTGAACTCTTCTGCAGTTGGGTTGTCATTCGTTCCTCCAGCTGACCTCTGTTTGCTTACTGTACACTCAGTATATTATCACATAAATTTGGACAAAAATCGCATCATTGTATATTTCTCTGAGGTATGTGAATAGTAATTACTATAATAGCATTTATTTATATTTTAATCCTTGCGGTTCACCACATAGGTAGTTCCGAAAAGAACTTGAGTTGAGAACAGTTCTTTTCAAAACTACCTACATGGTACCGCAAGCATTAACATACAGTACTGTATATGTTGTTATTATTTGGCCATGCAAACCTTCAAACAATAATAGCATATAATAATAATATTTACCTCTTTATTGTGTTTTGATGAGGAAGGTTCAAAAACCCAGATTTGCGGATTGTGTCGTATGCTGCTGAAGACTTGTGGTACACAGCTATACAAAACCTAATAATTGCTGGATGCCACTTTACAGCTGTTTTAGATTTTGCCTTTGCTGCTTTCATTTGTTCTTCCCACAGCAACCGCTGAGGAGTTCCTTCAGGAAGGTGGATGGTGTACTTTTCTTCATTTTCAATTAATGACTTAATCAAGTTGTTGTCTCCTGCATTATGGAGCTTTCTGCTTTTCTTTTGAAACATAGAAGCAATCTTGTCTTGAAGTATGTGATTCTTCCTCTTCAGGATCTGCTTTTCACGGACAACAAATTCAAGCTTCTCTTCAATCTCCTCTCTGGACCGTTGATCATTTCTTTTGTGTGATGATGTAGGTGTACATGCCATGTTCTCTTTCTTTGTTGTATCTCTCCTTGAAAAAAGAGTGGGACGGTATATGTTACACACACAGCAACGCTCCTCCTCTGATAATATGTTGCACTGAACATGTCTAATAGTCGTTGGCTCAACAATTGCAACAGTGTCTCCACTTCGTGATTTCAATATAGTCTCTCCACATTTAATAACATCCATAAAATCTGAATTTCCAATGCAAATACAAAACTTTTGGAGTGTTTCCAAAAACTTGTTAATATTGTCAGTGATTCTTTCATAGCCTTGAAATCTATTTGCCTGTATTTTGTGATTAAGGACATGCAGGGTCCACTCACCATTTGGTTTTATAGCCAGTGATTTGATTACATTTCTAGTTTCAAATTCAATTTCCATGCAGTACATCATCTCATTTCTTTCAGCAAACATAAAGTTATGTTTTGAACATGCACTCCTTGCAATTTCGGACAAAGTTGGTCCAGATGGTTCAAATTTCACTATCGTGTCACTACAACAAATCTTACAGCTGCTGTCATCATGTGCCTCAAAAATTGGCACAGTGATATTTAAAGGTGTAGTGATTTTCTGTTTATTCTTCCGTTTTTGCCACCACTCCAATCTTCTATGGCAAGCATGGCAAACAAATTGTGGATGAATTCCATCAACATCATTTTGTAAGTTAATGTTCAGAGCTGCTGTAAGTTGTCTTGCATTATGTTCTTTCTTCTTGTACTGAACACCAAGTTTGTTCCCACAAACACGGCAAAGAGAGTTCAAGTTTTCCCAGTGAGACATTTCAGCATAGCATTATTTCTATTAAAAAAGAAAGAAATTAATAATTATTAATACTTTATCTAAAATAACATGCCATTCCATATGTACATGAAGTTTTTCTTCTGTATAACCTTCTACTTAAATCCAATTGTATTATAAGATTATTAGTCCCATGGAAGTATTAAAGGTATTATAAATTAATACCTCCATGTTAGTCCTAAGTCCAATTGTATTATTAATTATTAGTCCTGAATAAAATGTCTAGTGTGACCGAACCCAGGGGAGAAGTTTAAAATTATTATTTTAGGTCTTGGGGTAGCTTTTAATGTTAATAATGAATCTCCAAAATACCCCACCCTCTTTGTCCCCCGCATTTATTATAAATATATATTTAATTAATTGGTGGATTTTGAGACCAAGGAAGCTGGGCCTGTACTAGCCTTCGCCAAGCCTTTATAATAACTCTATGAGCCAGGTTATCTAAGGCTCTAGCTAGCTAGCTACAGTAGGCCTCACTGGCCCTATATAGGGCATAGGCTGGGCTGCCTCATGGCTGTTTTATAATTCACTATAATACCTCCATGCTCTAGACCCTAGCCACCCCCCCCCCTCCCTAGTACTTACTAGGCCTAGGCCAGGCCTGACTTATAATATAATATTAATAAGTCGGCCTGCTTAGGCCTACCTAGGCCTAGGCCTATATAAAAGTAGGCTAGCCCAGCCGTATTTACGTTACTAAAGCAAATGACGTCATCAACGTCGAAATTGTCAAAATTAGTGGTACTTTGAAGGAAAATAACCAAAATAGGGACAATTAGGTACAGTTCACATGGACAAATTTATGTAAAACAATATCTATTCCGCCAAACAAGACAGGTCACATTTATGAAAACGAATGAGAAATACATTAAACATCGTTTTTAACATAGCATATTCTCTAAAAAAAATAAAACATACCTTTACTTTGATCGTTGATAGAAACTGTTTGGATAAGCTGATTTAAATGCGGTTTTCAATGGCCTTTTCAACAATAAATTGCGCTCGATATGGTAACTTTCTTTACTCAAAAATACTTCAACAGACATACTGCGCATGCTCTAAACAAAATTACAGTTTTCCTCTGGCTTTTTCCCCAATACCAGGTCCTACCGACGCCCCCAACAAATCTAGTTCTGCGCATGCTCGGCGGTCGGAATGATCGGACATCAATAGACCGTAACATCTTGGTAAATCGCGTCGGATCTCTTTGTAGTAATTGCCTTATCAGTATTAAACAACGGGGGGTTTTCAGTGTTGTTTCTCCAGTTCACTATAATACCTCCATGGTCTGAATGGGGTATTATTTGTATGTAGTTTCATCACCATGCGAAACAGGCCACACAACTGAAAGGTTGAAAGACCAAGAATTATTGAAACAGGCTGCCAGTATAGTTCTTTTAGAGAAGAGGTCTGTAGCAGCTGATTTTGATGGCATTCATGTAACTTTGAGTTGTTTGGTGAAGAAGTTGAAAACTGGTAGGTTAATGTGGCTTTATTATTAAAAATCTTTTATCAGTGTTATATCCATATTATTTAATGTATTAATTTTGATTATTTAATTATTGCTTTCATACAGTGAATGAAGAATGACTAATAATAATAATAATAATAATATTTGAAAACAAATATATTGTTTCCTATTTGTAGCTGGACCCATGAATAAGGTAGAGGTGGTGTGACATGCCCTAGAAAAAACAAATGTTGGATATATGCTAAGCCCAGCCAAGTGCTCACAAAGGAACAAGAAAGACGGTTGGTAGATTACCTGAAGTCTGCCGCACCTGTATATTTTGGGCTATCACCCACTGAAGTAAAGAAATTTGCATTCGAATGTGCTGAAGCCTTTAAGTTAGTTATACCAGAACCCTGGAAAGAGAAGAAAATGGCTGGCCCTGACTGGTTTCATGAAAAGAAACAGAGACATAAGTGTTAGGACAACAGAGGCAACCAGCCTAGCAAGAGCCACAAGCTTCAAGTACCAGTTCAATGTAAATATGTTTTTTGACAAGCTTGTTGATGTTATGGACAGGTACCATTTTCAAGCGTCAGATATTAGGAATGTCGACGAAACCGGTGTCGTTACTGTTCAGAAAGGTGGCAAACTTGTAGCCGAGAAAGGCCTCAAACAAGTGGGGTCGATAACATTTGATGAACGCGGTACACTTTTTACGATGTGTGAGGCGGTAAGCGCCACAGGGAATACTGTTCATCCTATTTTTATTTTTCCCAGATTTCATTTTAAGTCTCATTTCATCCCCAGTGGTCCAATCGGATGTGTCAGTACAACCAATCCGGCAGGATGGATGACTGAAAGTGACTTCCTACTTTTTATGGAACATTTTATTAAGGTTGTTCGTCCAAGGAACGACCTGTTTTGTTATTGATAGACAATCATCTGTCCCATCTGTCAGTTACTGTCTTGAATCTGGCTAAGGATAATGGTGTCGTGATGCTGTCGTTCCCACCCCACACATCACATAAACTACAGCCATTAGCAGACATGCCAACCCTACAAGGCCAATAAGAGGAGTCTGAAATACTTCTGAGAGGAGTTTTGGCAATGTGAGAGGAGTATTCCTAAGACATGGTACCAATGTCATCGGAATTGATAAGTATTCCATTACAGAAACTTGTTGTATTTGACATATATGACACCGGAAGTGAATAAACAGTCTCTTTGGCTATGAACCGGAACATGCGTACTGGACTGTAATTATATGTAGTAAATTTGGTCCAAATACATTTCAGCTGAAACTGTCACAAATTTTATTTTTCGACTGAGACAGCAAGCGGATCTGTGTGATTTCGGAACAGAGAAAGAGAATAATATTAGAGATCAATTGATAGATGGATGTCTATCAGAGAAGTTGAAGAAAATATTACTGCAAAAGGGGAATGAATTATCCTTAGAAAAAGCAGTAACCATTGCTAGTTTTGAATTGGTTCAGAAGCAGTCAGAGACTATGTCAGCAGCGAGTAATAATTTGTAGAACACCCAGTGTTCATGCCGTACAACAGCGTACAAATTTGAAAGGCAGGTGTAGAAACGGTTGCGTTTCTGTAGAGTTTTGTAAGTGAAAATAGGTGGCGCACAGCGAAATGCCCAGTTGTCAGACCAACGCTAATGATCCGTGTTGCTATGAGGATTGTGTATGTGTAATAACAGGAGCAAACGGTACATTATTCAACCGTTTCTAAAGTTATTGGTTAGAATCCTAACCAACGGATTAAATGTAAGTTTATAAGAGTAATTTGTAGGGCAGTGATGATAATTGGTTTACAATAACAGGTGGGAGTATCTCTCCATTTATAGGCCTAGACCTAGCTAGGTATTACTGTCATGCACGGTGAGGCCAATGTGCATTGTGTTTAGGTATTACTAGGCCTACTACACTATCAACGGGAAACGTGCGATTAGGCTCTGACCAGGATCATAATTATGAGCTTATGTCGATTAGGCCTGCCCCAGATTGATACTGTAGAGTGGCGGTATTATGAGTACTGTATTAGATTCTGAACGTATTGTTATTATAATACTGCTAGTAGTATGTGTGAATGTACATGGCGATGTTCAACAATAACTAATATTATATGACTAAATGAAATGTGTCAATGAAGAATCACGTCAGATATCAGTCTTCACGATTGATTGGATTTATAGTTATACAATATGCATTATACTATTGAAGTTGATTTAGTCCTAATCAGTATTGGTACTCATGCTGCTATAAGATGATTGTTGTAATTATAATTCTAACGCTTGTTGGTAATGTTGGATTTATATAGTATAGTTTATTGAGATATTGTTTAAGGTTGATGTTCCTTGTTTAGGCTAACCTGTTCAGGAGGTGATCGGTAGAGTAGTCCTGTAATTGACTGATCACACATTATGCTAACCTGTTTGTAGGAAACACGGCAAAGTAGTAAGTCTTCATTTATTGCAGGCAAACCGTATTATGTAAGGCTTATTGTATTGAATGGTTCATAATAATGTTTTCAAGAAGTTTCTATGTTTATGGTTATTTGAATTGAATGAGATGTTAAGATAAATGATAAAGGTTATCATCAGAGACTTTATTGTAATAAACGTCATAGAACTTTAACGGAGTTTCCTGCATCATTTGTTCAGTGTTTTGCGGCAAATTCAATTTACTATTGGAGCATCCACGTGAAAGAAGGAGCAAAACATTATGGATCCAGAGAAGCTGAAGATTACACGGCGAAACCGGAAGGGTAATCTTACAAGAACAATGAAAGAATTGCATATGCTATTCCAAGCAGCCAGACAAACACGATGAGATAAATAAAGCTATTGAAAAGGCAAAGGCCAAGTTTGAGGCTATTGAAGCATCCCATGATGAGTTAATTGAGCGTTTGGCTGATGAAGCGGAATATGTTAAAGAAGAAGAATGGATGGTCCAATGTCAGGAAGAGTTCCTTTCCGAGACGAGGGTAATTGAGTTACAGTTAGCCGAAGTGTGGAAAGACAAGTCTGAACAGAAATCAGAGATAGTTCAAGATGCTGAAACAGTTGAAATCAATACATAGACCAAAGAGAAGGTCGAGGTAACTGGAAATAAAGGTAGCAAAAATGGACAAAATGTTGAATCAGAACCGCCTAAGGCGGATGAAAATGTTAGTGTTAATGATGTAAATGTAAAGAGTAATGAAAGTTTAATTGGGTTGTTTCAAACATTGGCTTTGCCAAAAACCAAGGCTAAGCAATATAAGGGAGATCCTTTATATTACCATGCATTTATATCAGGTTTCAACAATATGGTGACAAATGTACCAGATTATGGGTTAAAGTTAAACACCTTATTATTCAGTTAAAGCCCTAGAGTCTATACAGTTTTGTGTATTAAAACCACCTAAGGAAGGCAATGAGGCTGCGTGTAAAACGCTTAAAGAGAAATTTGGCAATACAGGAGTGATATTGCAAGCTTGGGTGAGTAAAATCACAGATAGACCCAAGATAGAGGTGAATGCATTAAAACAGTATGCAGAGGATCTAGACAATTGTTTCCAAACCCTTAAGGAATTAGGATACCTCAACGAATTAAACAATCAAAGTAGCCTAAAACTAATAATTGAAAAATTACCAAGATTTCTTAGGTGGCAGGAAAGGAAAACTACCGACTGAAATTAAAATCAGAGAATGCAACACTTGAGAATGTTGTGAAGTTCATTAGAACATGGTACTGGAAGTTAATGATCCTGTCTTCGGATTCAGTGAAATCAGGCAGCCAACTCGCACAACAGAGGTTAGAAAAGTACAGGTAAACAACGTGAACTGGAATGCAGATCGAGAAAGATCACCAAAGTGCTGGGTATGTACGTCTAATGAACACTGGCCAGATCAGTGTGGCACACTGCTAAGGCTAGATCAGTGTAGCACACTGCTAAAGGCTAAGTCACAAGAAAGGTTTGAGCTTGCGAAAACCAATGCTATGCCTGTTTAAAGGCAGCCGGCAGAAATCACAACATATCTAACTGTAAAAGAAGAAAACCGTGCTCTAAAACGGTGAACGACAAGCAATGTGACAAGTACCATCATCCCCACGCTAATGATCCGTGTTTGCTATGAGGATTGTGTATGTTTAATAACAGGAGCAACCGTTTCTAAAGTTATTGGTTAGAATCCTAACCAACGGATTAAATGTAAGTTTATAAGAGTAATTTGTAGGGCAGTGATGATAATTGGTTTACAATAACAGGTAGGAGTATCTCTCCATTATAGGCCTAGACCTAGCTAGGTATTACTGTCATACACGGTGAGGCCGATGTGCGTTGTGTGTATTACTAGGCCTACTACACTATGAACGGGAAACGTGCGATTGGGCTCTGACCAGGATCATAATTATGAGCTTATGTCGATTAGGCCTGCCCCAGATTGATACTGTAGAGTGGCGGTGTTATGAGTACTGTATTAGATTCTGACCGTATTGTTATTATAATACTGCTAGTAGTATGTGTGAATGTACATGGCGATGTTCAACAATAACTAATATTATATGACTAAATGACATGTGTCAATGAAGAATCATGTCAGATATCAGTCTTCACGTTTATTAAACTGATGTTAAAAATTTAACATAGCGTGACCGTTTAGCATGAAATAATGGGGATTTCCCTAGAGCAAGAATACGTTGTTTCATTGCGGTATCCAGAAGTTTACACGCATTTCCAGTTGTTTGATGTTTAATAATCAGCAGAAAAAGATGAAATTTCTTTATGTGAACATTTGTAAATGTCAATGTTTAAAAATAATTAAAAACTTAACATTA